GTCACGACTAGTTCGCCCACAGGCGAACTAGAAGACACTCGACTAGTTCGCCCATTGGCGAACTAAGGCTTAGATCGCCAATGGGCGAACTAGGAGATGCTCGACTAGTTCGCCCATTGGCGAACTAAGCCGGCCCGGCTTAGTTTGCCAATGGGCGAACTAGGAGACACTCGACTAGTTCGCCCATTGGCGAACTAAGCCAGCCCGGCTTAGTTCGCCAATGGGCGAACTAGGAGATGCTCGACTAGTTCACCCATCGGCAAACTAAGCCGGCCCGGCTTAGTTCGCCGATGGGCGAACTAGGATCACACGACTAGTTCGCCCATCGGCGAACTAAGCCAGCCCGGCTTAGTTCGCCGACGGGCGAACTAGAAACTTCCTGGACGTCCCCAGCCTGGGTCTCCCGCATTCCCGATTCGAAACTTACGTCTTTCGACACGGTCGCATTCTGAACCATGGCCGAAACATCTCTCGTTCCATCTCGATCCGACCTATCGTTCAAGTTTTACGATAAAAACAGTAAAACTTCGCTTTCTCGATAAAGAACTCGAATAAATCGTATAAAACGGCGACGGTTGACGAAACACCGAACATTGCCTGAAACATACGATTTATTCCAGATTTCTCGTCGAAATCATAAAAAACGCGTTTTTAATAAAAACGTCGAGTAAATCGTAGAAAACGCGTTTTTAATTAAAAAGTCGAGTAAATCGTAAAACCTTACGATTAGCTCGAGGAATTTATTAAAAACGACGTCAGATCAGGAAACAATCCCGTAAAAAGTCGGAAAACGGATTTATCGCAAAACGGCCCGGAAGGGCCTAAAATGCGATAAAAACCCATCTCGCGATCTTAACGGAATCTATCCCGAAGATTTGATAACGTTTTGACGGTTTACTCGCAGGAGGAAAATAAAAGTCAAGTTTGAAGATAAAAGGAAGGTTTGAAGAAAAATAGAAGATTTCCGCGGAAGAAAAGGAAGGATCGAGAAAAATGGAAAATTCCCGATATAGTCATATCTGGGCGAAACGGAAAGACCGGATGGCCAAGGCGAGGAGTATATAAATAAGAGGTTTAGGACAGAAGCAAGGGACACGATTTCAAGAGCTCTCACCACCAGAATTAGCATTTAGGAATATTTCCGTTTTTCTGTTAGCGAGTTGCGTCCCAATTAGGGTTTTTCATTCTTAAGTTTTCGGCTACTCTCTTTGTACCAGTTCTACGCAGATTCGGAATAAGAACCTCTTTGCTCTCGATTTTCTTTCATTCTTTTAATAATTCTAAGTTTCTTGTTATCTTAATCTTCGTTGTGCGGTTCTGCAGATAGCCGGTTCCTCTGGAAACTTAGGGTTGTCCCGAAGTTTCCTTATTTACGATTATTTGACAGTAGGTGGATTTCGACACCCACAGAGAAAAGCTCAACCAAGATGCCGAAGGTGCTACGGCTGGTGGAGAAGAACCCAACAAAGAGGCCAAAGGTGCTACAGCTGGTGGTGAAGAATCCAACAAAGATTCTGAAGGTGCTACGGCTGGTGGAGAAGAACCCAACAACGAGGCCGAAGGTGCTAAGGCTCGTGATGAGGATACTGATATGGTACAACCCCGGACTAAGAAACACAGAGGACCAACCAGGATGAAAGATATTGCGAGAGATCCTAATGCACTAATAAAAGTGGAGTTCACCGAGTTTGGAGAACCTTGTGGAGAAGGATCAGTTAAGCTGTCTTCATACTTAAGTCCCTTGCTCAGGGAACATGTTCCTGTCGTCATAGATGATTGGAGAAAAATTGGTGAGGAGCGGAAGACTGTTCTGTGGAAATATGTTAAGGTATTTGTATTCATTCATATTGTAAATTATTCTGGTCTTAGTACTCTTAATTTTTTCTTGTTATTGTAGTTACGGTTCGAACTGGATGGAGAGTTCGAGAAAGCAGCAGTAATGAAACAGATGGGATGCTTATGGAGGGCCATTAAATCACGCTTGTTTAATCAGATTATTAAAGCTGATAACAACGCAGAGCGATTGAAGTTGTGTACAGACAATATTCCAATGGCAGAGTGGAGGAAGTTTGTGAAAGAGAAGACTAGTAAAGAGTTTAAGGTATGAAATTGTACTTACTTTTATTTTTAATATTCAGCATTGTAACACTGCTATATAGGCTGTTAGCGATGCATACAAGGAAATAAGACGTAAGCAGATTCCTCATACATGTAGCCGTAAAGGAATGGTTAGATTGGCAGAAGATTTAGTAATTATTTTACTCATGAAGGATCTTGAATCGTATGAAAATGTGTATTGATTTGACATTGGTTTTTAATAAGAGAGCTTGAATCACAATGCAGAAAAAAGAGAGCTCAGATCCTGGTGAAGTAATGAGACTGAATGTATGGGTCAAGTCATGAACTAAAAAGGATGGGACAGCAGTAAACACGGATGCTGCTGAAAAAATAGTAATTTGTTGTTTCTTTACCTTATTCGATTCTGAGTTTCACATTAGAGTTTAACTACATTAGAGTTTAACTTCAACATGTTTCAGGAAAAGTCCAATGAGTTTATTCGGTCTGATGATCCAGGAGCATCATCCTCAAACCCAAGAGAAGACACTCTTAGTCATCTCTTAGGACCTGACAATCCTAGACGCTTGAGGACAATGGGTAGAGGAATGAGTGTGAGCAAACTTTCTTTTTTCGAAGTGAAGAGCAAGTATATGACTGAAATGCAACAGACACAAGTTCAGTTGAAGCAGCAGGTCCACGAATTACAAGAGGCTCTTGCAAAAATGAATAGTTGAGTAAGTGTGAAAGATTAACTGTCCTCTGGTTCTTGTTTTTCGCAAAATGGTAACCTAATTTTTATGTCTATTTGCAGTGGCCAGACTCGGAAGTGGGTGAAAATTCACCACCATCAGTAAGTTCTAGTGCATTAAGTATTTTTGCTGAACTTGAACGGAATGTAACAGTTGTGTTGATTACTATTTGTAGAGTGTAAACAAAAGGTTTTCACAGCCTAAGTGTATTCTATACGACTGGTGTGACAAAGAATCCAAAGTAGCAGATGGTCGTTTTATGTCTTCTGATGTTATGGAGTTTGTAAACAATGTACCATTGGACCCTAATTCAGCTAAGGTGGTAGTTGAGACGGCTTTTGAAAAAGATACATTTTTTTGGAGACCGGCGCCAAAAATGTATACTATTGGTTAGGTTGTAGGAGAAACTGTAGGGTGGCCTCATGATTCGGTTCTTTTTCTTGACGAGGAGTTCTCTCCATTATGACATTCCAAGTAATGTAAGGTTTTCATTCCTCATCTCATTTTGATCTTAAGTTTATGTTTCTAATAGCTATTAATGTGTTTCGTATGTTGGATTTTTTTGTTTGTCAGAGCCCAGAGACAATAGAAATGAACAAGTGAACTTCTACATTGACTAACAGATGATGAAGAAACAGTTGATGAAGGTCGTTGAGAGAGTCGTGATCCCAAAGCCTTGGTGGATGGCCTTCCTCTTGGACCAAATGCTGTTAAGTATTTGTGGATGTGGTAACGGTGAAAGAGACATTTCTTTGGCGGCCAACAGAAAAACACTCAAACCTTCGCGACTGTTTGAAGACGTTTGTAGCATGGCCAGTGAGCAGAGTTATTCAAGAATTTAGACACAGAGTCACCAACTACAGCTACTCCTCATACGCACTCACAGGTTCACACTCTCCTGCTAAGATTTCAAAAACATTTTCACAACCTCCTTCAAGCTCTCAGAAGGTAAGTCTAAGTGTATTAGTAGGTAGTGATCATATACGTGATAAAGTTGCTAATGCTTACATATTACTTACACTATTCGACATCGATCTTCTATACAGATTGTGAAGGAGGGTCAGAAGTGCAAACTGTTGGACATTACCGGTCAAAAGTAGTTGTTGCAGAAGGATGCTGGTCTTCGAACAACCCTGACAGTTAGTCCATTTCGTTCCGTTGGGAAATAATGCAGTTTGTGTGTGGGTTGATGTAGTCAAGGTGAATGATGCCAAGGTTTGGAGGCCAATGTCTGCAATTGAGTGTATGGAGGATGCTATCGGTACCATTGTAGATGGTTTGAAGATAAAGTTGTCATCATTTGAGGTGGAATAAGAACTGTATGGTCTTCTACTTTCATTGCTTTTGTATTGAACCTATGGCACTTGTTGCAAATGAGACTTGTGTTTTTTCTTTGAAACTTAATTATGACATTGTATTTCTATTATGGAGAAATGAAACTTTCAGACATTGTTTATTTCTTTATGAGAATTTGGTGTAACACATGTGATTGATTTATTGTATGAAATAGTATCCAAAAAGAAGCTACAATTCATATATACATAACTCAAAACCATATCACCAAATAGCATCTATGTAGAGCTACTACAACGTAATTCATGGCTACAAAATATAGCTATTTTACAAATATACATAGCAACCAAAAAATGTTATTACACAATTTTATATAACGCGGATTATTTGTTATTAATAAGTTTAATACAGCATAAGAGAACAGCTGTTATATAATTTCCTATAACACGACTAATGTGTAATAAATAGCATTAATACAGCATAACTGTAATGCTATTATAGGCCACTCTACGATAGCGTCATTGTAAAACGCTATCGTATATAGGTACTCTATTATAGCGTCAATTATAATAGCATTTATAAAACCGCTATGAATACCATATAATAGCATTAACCGTATCATATGAAAAGCCATATTTTTGTAGTGTTTTTTTTTAATATTATCTTATTATTTTAATGTCAAATTTTCAACCGGCTCAAATTGGGACCAACGAAATTTATTAATTTATAGAGATTATTAATTTATCGAGTATTAATTTATAGAGATTCTACTGTATTTCTCCTATTTTGTTTTTCGTTTGTGTAGGCCAGGATTTTTTTTTACACCACCTGGTGTTTTTTTTTAGTTTTATTAAATTTGTTAAGTTCTCATATTTATTAGGGAAATTCTTTGAGTAATGGTAACTTCTTACAAAATGGCATTGTGTAAGTTTATGTAGTTGTGACTTTGGTTACAATTTTCAATAATTTACAAAACTACACGAAGTTGCAATTGCTATAATCTCAGTGATTCGGTCTTTGAGTTTTAGATATTTCATATATATGACCCTTGATTGAATGAATATTACAATCAAAGTAGTAATTAAAGTGTTATCAACTGAAAACCGGGTTATGCATAATAAGGAATGACATAGAAGCTATGAAGAAGCAAGCACTTGGTTTCCTAAGTGGAAAAAGCTGGAGCAGACTAACGTTGCACTTGTCTTTGGTTAACCGGGTTTTGCTTGTCTTCTGGACTAGTTGCAGAACCGAGGACAGCACCACTTCTGAGTAGTCTATTGCTGTTTGCTGCTGTCAGTACCATCATACCAAGGAAAATCAAAACGGAGATAGATGAGAAGATAAGCATCATTCCCGAAGTGACCTGATCTTTCACATCTTGTGCATACTGAACTGAGTCTAAAGCAAGAAAGGTGATGGGAAACGAGTAAGCCCACCATGCAACATTAAATCTTTTCATTGCCTTCTTGAAAAGATTTGGCCTACAGACCTGAAAATGTTAATAAATAAAAAATTGAAGGTAAATGTCTTGTCATATATTTCATTTCTTTATTTTTGTTTCTTAGTGTGATGTAAAATTACCAGGGACACGAAGATGAAGAACGAAAGAAAGAACAACATCTTTGCTAGAGGATCAAAAGTTCCACAAATGGAGTTCCAAGCTAGACTTCCCATGGCCGGTGCAGCAAAGAACAAGAAGAAGACTGGCCTCAGCTTGGTTGGGAAGTTCTTACCTCCCGGTAGACGTTGATAAAGTGTGACAAAGATAACCAAATAGTGAACCATCCCCAGCGAGAACAAGAATAGCGCACACTCCATCCAGCCCATCTCTGCTGCTCCCCTTGCAGCCACTAGGTTTGCAATAACTGATACTTGGCTTGCCGGATTCGCCATCATTGACAGAAACCTTTTCTCTGTTGTGAACCACTGTCCATAAAGCTTTGTATCGAGGGCCAAGACTGGAAGAGCAAACACCGCGAATAATGTCTGATACCAAATGCTCTGTGGTTCCATCATTGGAGCTGATTGGAGCAAGATAAGCCATGAGATGGATGGAGCGTAAAGATAGTTCACTCCAATATGATGTGAGAACTCTTTCTTCACCATGTCAAAGTAGAAAAAACACTTCAGCGCGTACAAAAGACAGAGCGACACTTGTGTTGCAAGTGCTAGGTACCACAAGAGATGGAACGCCATAGACGGGAGATTGCTTTGCAAATGGGACATGCTTCGTGAATCAGGTGCGATCATTATCTTCCATAGAAGAGCTTGGCTGCAGAGCGAGAGGCTTATTCTGAAATAGCCTGCATGGAGACTATTCAAAACAGACATCAAAACAATGGGTTTTGCATGAGGGAGGTCAGCCTTTCTCTCTTTACAGCTCGATATTGAATCATCAATTTTGATGTGAACTTCTTGTTTAGGAATTTTCAAGCTTTCCATCTCTGGTATATCGATGGAATAGAAGTAATGGCTTGTTTTCGCTTTGTGTTGTTCTAACCTTAGAATAGAGTTCATATATGTAGGCAGAGAAAGGTATGTAGATTTATTTGTACATCACACGTGATTTAGGGGGAATTAGTTAATGTTGGACAAGGATGTTTACTTAAAAAATAATGGACTGTAGGATGGCAATTTGTAGTAACTTTTGGTAAGCTCAGTAACTTGTATAGTACAGCTCAACATTTCTTGTTTAGGCTTCATAAATAAACAAAGCTCTTCCTGTTGATTACTTTACAAATTGATCTTTTATATTATTTTTTTCCTACTTTACCTAACTGGTACCATTATAATTGAGCAGGATAATTAGGTTTTCTTATCAGAGGATGTTTACCACTAACTGTAAAGAAAGACTGATGCCAGCGACCCACTAATTTTAATAAATTCTTCTCACTTTCTGTAAGTTGTATTCAAATGCAGATAAACAATTTTAGTTTTTTAAAAGATGATAAGCTTTTTCAGTACAAGGTCAGATGTATTAGATTACCTATTGATCAAGGTCAAGAGCCAATGAATGAGCTCCAGGAGAAATCCTACATTTTTGTGCAACAGCAACACGAAACTAGTGTACAGTGCAAAAGTCTTTATCCAGGAGTAACTTATAAATTTTATTCGATAAATTAATAGACACAAAATTTTAATAAAATTCACCAATTCTAAGCTGGACCGATTTCAAAATATGATACAAATCGTTAAAATAATTAAAATAATATTTAGAATATCCCATATATAAATATAAAGTCTCATTAAATTTTAAAATTATTTAACATGTATTTTATATAAATGCAAATAATACACATTTTATATTAACAATGGAGTTTATTTCCATTTTAATATTTCATAGTATTTTGATGATGCGTAAAATTCTATTGAAAAGAATATTAAAATTTTTTATGATATATACTTATATATATCAAATAATATAATAAAACAAACAATATGAAAGTTAAATTCATCAAATTTCATAAATATATAAATAGTGAAATCAATTATTTTTCTTGGTTTACCAAAAACTACATTTTAAAATATTTTTTTAAATCAATTTAATAACTCTATAAATTAATAAAATACTATAATACCAATATTATTAACTTATAAAAGTTTACTGTAATTTAGGATCAGCAAATGCGATTTGAAAAAAATGGAATATTTAAATCGCACCACAAGAAAACGTAGTCATAACGACTCTGTATTATGACTACAAATGTGTAGTCGTAATTTACGTTGTTGTTACACTAACATTACGAAAAAATTGAAAATCATCATAAATTTGATGTAATCTTGCAATGAAATATTTTTGTCATAAAGTAGTGGTTAAGTAACGACTTGTTACGACGACATATACAAGTCATCTTAAAGAAGTCGTTGTTTTACGACTATCTTACATCAAATATTTTGCATCTAATTAACGACCAAATTACAAAGAATACATAAAAACGTGATAAATGTTTGTATATATGGTTGATTGAAATGGTAGTAATGTAGTTGTTCAGTCGTAGTAAAATTTATGATGTAGTAAATTTGTTATAATATTTTTACCTACCAAAATCAAAATTTTCTCATAAATATGCTTTTCTCTCTCATTCTTCAGATGCACAAAAAACAAAAACAAAAAAAAAAAAAAAAAACAAAAACAAAAACAAAAAGCAAACCAATGTCTCATGGTGGAAATATCTATGAGCTTCAGAGTTGGATGTATGCACAAATTGATTCTGCAAGAATGGTGACAAATTAATTTCTCAACGGGACAGAGATATTCATGTACCAAACCGGAAATACATCTCTCACGCAGGAAAGAAATAAAATGTTATGTGCATGTCATAAGTGCAAGATTACTAAGTTTGCTCATAGTGAAACGGTTTGGAAACATATAATAAATAGAGAATTTACCCTACATTACTACATTTGGTTTAACCATGGTGAAGGTGATAGTAGGAATACATCTAGTAGTAATCAGTTTGAAGATGTTCGTAATAGGGAAGAACTGAGTCATTTGCACTCTAGATGTAGTTACCCTTAAGAGGATCAGGTGGTAGATCATAGAATGCCTGATATCGTTACAGATGCATTTCGTGAAACAAACTCAGTAGTTGCTGCACAAGTAGAAAATGTAGAGAGCCCTAACTTAGATACAAAAATGTTTTATGAAATGCTATCCGTAAACAATCCGCCAATTAATGATGGTTGTAGGGCAAATCTTTCTAAATTATCATTGGCAATTAGGATGATGAATATCAAAACTAATCATAACTTACCTGAAGTTTGTATAAGTACATGGTTGGGTTGTTTGAAGAGTATTTGCTTGAAGATAATTTGTGTATTGAATCTTATTATGAGATTCAGAAACTGATTCATAGTCTTGGCTTACCTTCGGAGATGATAGATGTGCGTACAGACAACTGTATTATCTACTGGAGGAAAGATGCGGAATTGTTGGAGTGTCAATTTTGAAAAAAGCCACAATATAAACAACAAGGACATGGGCGGAATATGTACCATCCCAACGGATGTGGTACTTACTTATTACGGATATGCTAAAGAGATTATATCAATCTGAAACAAATTGCAGTAGCGAAGAGATGGCATGCACAACATATTCAGAAGGAAGGAAAGATCAATCATCCATCAGATGCAAAAGCCTGAAAACACTTGAATTCGGTACACCTTAATTTTTCAAGCTACATTTGCAAGGTTTATCTTGGGCAGTGCACAAATAGATTTAGTCATTTTGGAATGTCTGGAAGATAATACTCATTTTGACCAGTTATTCTGATACAAACTTCCACCAGAGATGTGTATCAAAAAGGAATTTATTTTCATGAGTATATTGATACCTAGGCCTAAGCATCCGAAGCGGTCCCTTGATGTTTTCTGACATCCTCTGATATGAAGAAATTGTTTTCAACAAGAGTGCATACATATGATTGTTCAAAGAGGAAACTTTACAACGCGAGCAGTTCTTCTTTGTACCATGAGTGACTTTCCGACATATTAGATGTTATCGGTTTGAATAGGGGATCCTAGCTTGTCCTTATTGTATGGGAAGCACATGCGCTTTTCAGCTGAAGTATGGTAAAAAGGCTTCTTGGTTTGATTTTCATCGGAGATTTATTCGTATTAACCATCCGCACCGATGAAACAAGACATTGTTCAAGTCAAAACTGGTTGTATGGGACACCGCTCCACCATATTTATCTCAAGAGAAAATCGAGAAGGATATTGATTACTATGGTGCACAATAAATTGTCTGCAAAGGAGGTAATTGGCATACTCCAGCAAATATGGTTGATGGTTATGTGACATAACATAATTGGCACAAGAAGAATATATTTGGGTAACTTTCATACTGGAAGGATTTACTTCTGCGACACAATCTTGATGTGATGCATGTAGAGAATAACTTCTTTGAAAACATCATCAATACATTACTGAAAGTCCCTAAGAAGACAAAATATAACAAGAATTCAAGGTTAGACTTGCATGCATTATGTTCTAGGAGTGAGCTACTTTTTAAAATAATGGAAAAATTATGGTTCCCATTTTCAGATTGCCAGCAGAAGCAAAGGCGGGGTTGTTCAAGTGGATGGCATCAGATGTGAAGTTTTTTGATGTTAATTTTCAAATCTATCAAGATGTGTTGATCATGGAAAAAAGTTTTTAGGGATGAGGAGTCATGACTGGCATTTGTTTATGCAACGACTTCTATCATTTACATTTGCGGAGTTGCTTCAAAAAAATGTTCACGAAGCACTTGCAGGTACCAAACTTACTTCTTGTAGAACATACTGATTTTGTTAAAAACATTTATCTTAATAATTCCATTGTACAATATTTGCAGGAATATAAGATTTAAAAAAGATCTTATCTCACGAACCTTAACTAAAGATGTCATCAGACAACTTGATGAGAAAATCATGATCTTAATGTGAAATTTTGAGAAAAAATTTCCTTCGTTGTTTTTTGACGTCGTGGAACATCTAATTGTTCACTTCGTGTACCTATTCATAACAGATGAATGTCTCCTTACGAGCGATTCATCAAACATTTGAAAAGGAAGGCAAAATATTTTGCAAGCGTGTAAGATTCAGTAGTTGTTGGGTGTTTGATTGAGGAAACATCTCACTTCACATCGTACTACTTTGGGTCACAACTCTGGACAATAAAAGGGCTTCGAACAGATATGATGATGGTGGTGTTATGCCGACATATGTTGTAGAAGGTGTTTCATACATATTCTGTCGGGTTGGACGTCAAGGTGGGAAAGTAAAAGAAGTTTGGTGGTCGAGTACATAAGACGCTCACTGTGCCCACACATATATATTCTTTAATTGTGAGGAGATGCAGTAATTCGAAGGTAATTAAATTTATTTCCATTATGAAATTTAACCTTGTATATAATTATTGTAATGCTTAATTAATTATCATTCGCAAAAACAGTGAATTTGTTGCCTAGGTTGAAGAAGCTATAAGGAATATCAACTAATGATCTCAACAAAAGGAAAGAGCAACAGTCGTGAAGTGGTTAAAACACTGGTATAAATCAAAATATTATTAATTATGTTAGTTATATATTATAAATTACATATTACTGAAGTTATATATAAATTACAAGTTGAGTATGATGATCCATTCTATCGTTTGTTGGTTCACGAATTGATACGATGTCCGGTCGCTAAGGTAACCTATGTATTTCACACGAGGTTACACTTTCACACTTATGAGTATGGAAGTCTTCGAGCAACGGTGAACTATGGACTATGTGTGAAAGGTGAAACAATTGTCTTTAAGATCTAACAGGAGATCATCAAAGTGGAATTCTCCGGTTTAGAGAAGCTGAAATGCGTACTCTTCAAATGTGACTTGTTCGACCCCACCGTCAATACATGTGTTCGGTATATCAAGTTTGGAGTTGTGGATATCAATGGTGCACAGATGTAAAACAAATTTGAACCATACATATTGGCATCTCAAGCAGAGCAAGTTTG